GAAACACTGTTACACATAGTGAGTCATCCCCGCAGTGAATCATTTAACGTATTTACAGAATCTGATTTTACAGACGTCTCCAAGCTTTGCCATATACAGTGTTCTTACAGACAATAGGTGTGAGCTCCATCACTCTGCATGCGACGTCTGTCTTTCATGCTACATAGACAGGCATGCCTGTTGTAACTAACTGTATGAAAGAAATTTTAGGCGCGGTGTTCTTGTAGTGAATGAATCAAATAACCCGCGAGTGATACACACAGTCAAGTGAGTGGAGGACCAGTGGCCGTAGGTCTCCTGCTACAAGAGGCTTTGCTACACCCAGGTTGTTAAGCAGCCGTGGATGACACAGCCCTTCATCTGCATGTAAAAAACTGTACCTGGATTAGATACGTAGCCTTAGTGGGACTTTACAAAAGAAGTTTGGACGTGGTGTTCTTTCAGCAGAACAAGTTACAGTGAGTGATGCTGGTAGTGACGTGTTTTGACAGACTTGTCCAACTACTGCTTCTCGGGTTTCCTGGAAGCTGAGTCAGAGCCAGGTTTTAACGGTGAAGATATGCAAGAGCCTTTCAGGAAAGTCTTGCTTGAATATACGTTATACACACATGCTGTCACTAGCTACACAGTAAAAGTACAGGCATAGTGTCCTTTCAGAGAGATGCTATTGTATCCAGAGTGTCTCGCATGCAGCGAATATTTAAACAGATTTATAGAAGCTGTTTTCCTGGGTTTCTTCACACTGCTATTCTGTGTTCTAACAAAAAATAGGTGAGAGCACCTTCTAACCTGCATCTAAAATCTTACCCCCATATTCGATACAAATAGCTGTCCTTAGTGTCTCCATGAGACAGACCTTAGGCAGAGCTTTCTTTCAGTGGAAGGAAGTTTGCCCAGTGAGAGAGGCATGGGGTCAGCGAATAAGGGGCCTGTGGCAGCACTTCTTTCCCTGCTACGCAGGCGCGACCCGCTGCCCAGGGCTCTAACAGCCCTGACGTGAGCAAGCCTTTCCATGTGCGTGTAAAGCCGTGCCGTCTCATCCAGTGTAAGTACAGAGTTGCTAACAGTCCATGAACGTAGGTTTAGACAGTCTTCTTTTGCTGAAAAGAAGGACAAAAATGCGCAGGCTGACAGCGAGTGGTTTAACAGGCCTGTGGCATCACTGCTGCCCACGCTGCCTGGGCGCTGGCTCACGCCTAGAAATCTGCCCCTGGGTGGGCGGCAGGGATGTTCTGAGTCCGTGTAAACTCCCGCTCCCGTGTCCCTTATACTTAGAGGTCCTTACCTGCCGGCTTGCAGAAATCCTAGGCGCAGAGTCCTTCCAGAGAACTACTGTTAACTCCAGAGTCATGAGGTAGCGAATCTTTTAACAGATTTAAATGCTGTTTTCTCAGGTTTCTTTAAGCTTCCCCGTAG